ATGAGAGAAGTGTGTGGGAGGAGGAGGAAGAAGAAGAGAGAGAAAGAGGAAAGAAGAAAAGAGGAGAGAGGACCTGGGGTTCCAGCACAGCTTCAAGGGCACACCTCCAATGACTTAGTCTTCCCACCAGGCTCTGCCTCCTGAGGGTACCACCACCTCCCGGTAGCAATACATCTAGGGGCTGACACACAGGCCTCTGAGGGACATTCTAGATTCAAATTACAGCAATACCTCTTAATTTTTCACAACTTTCACATATATTGGTGAAAGGAGTTAAGTATAAACACTTTTGGGAGTAACTTCCTCAGTGATGTCCTTTTTTGGTCAGACAGCCAACTCATGAATCAAAAATTTTTTCCCTCTCTTCTTTTCCTTTTGTGGTGCTGGCACTGAACCCAGGGCCTCTAATGCCTTTGGTGCACATTCTACACTGAGCTATATCCTGCCCGCCCTGGGAGAACCAACTTTTTGAAGGTTCTCCTGAAATGTATTTGTGACTTTCATCCTGACCCTGTACTGTTGAGTATAACTTGCTGTGTATGCCCCTAGAGATCCTTAACGAAGTCTTAGTCTAGAGAATTTCACATCGGAGGGTGAAAACCTATTGTGTCTACCTAACACCCTGTGTCCGACCCAGGTTTGCTCCGTAACTATCTCCCTACTTTCTGGGAGGAGTTACCCCTTTCTGTTGGAAAATGAGCCTCCGCTACCAGCTTTCACCACAAGAGATAAGGAAACTGCCTTGTTCTTAGAGACCTCACCCTCTGGCCACTGTGGATTGGTCTGGATGGGCCTGGTCCAGTGATTTAGCCAATCAGCACCTTCCCAGGAGTTTCTGAATTTTGGGGAGAGCAGTTAGGCCTTCTGTGGTACATCTGCAGGGAGAGAATGAAATGGCTACAGGGAGGGAAGCAAAGGAAGTAGTGGTGAGGTTCTGCAGCTTTCCAGTCCCCAGCTGCTGTTTCCCCATAGCCTTACCCTTCCTGGGTTTTGGCATTGTGACACATCTCTAGGCTCTCTAATCACCACCTCTTCTGTGTCTAACCTCATTTAAATTGGCTCTCTCGCTGTGTCCTGGAGTCGCATGGAGAGGCCCATAGCAAGTCGCTCAAGGCCAGGAGAGGATGGAAAACCAAGGAGCATCGCTTACCAGTGAGGAGATGATATGGTAACCAGATGTTCAGAGGATTCCTTGGTGCCCATAAAATCAGCACAAGGGATACCTGATAACCTGTGGTGTCAACTTTTTATTTCTGGTGCTAGGGATCATATCAAGTGTCGTACGCAAGCTAATCGCATGCTCTACACTGAGCAACACCCCCAGCCCATGCCCATCATTCATTCAGACACAGTAGGTCTGTTGTGAAAAGAGAACACTTCCTTGCCAGGCTTCCTTTCTCTGGAAAGCTATCTTTTATTACTTACTGATTCAAAACTATTTAGTAAGCATCTGCTATTTCCATTTTCAAAAACAGCAGTGACTAAAATTTGCTTCTATCACAGGACTTACACTTGAATAGGATAAAACAATAGTTTACACACACACACACATATATACATATGTATATGATATATGATATATGATATATGATAAAGTTCTATGAAGACAGCCAAAACAGGGCAAGAGGATGGGTGGAGAATAACAGTGAATTTCCTGTGTTGCTCTCTCTCTCCTCTCTCATTCTCTCTTTTTCTTGCAGTCCTGATGATTGAACCTAGGACCTATGCACTGAGCTATATCCACCTCCTTTTTTAATTTTTAATTTTGATACAGGGTCCCACTAAGTTTCCCAGGCTGTGCTTGATCTTGCAATTCTCCTGCCTCAGCCTCTCCAACTGATGGGATTAGAAGGATGTAGCACAATGACTGGCCTGTGATGATCTCTTTGATAGAATAAATTCAAGCTCTTTTCCTCCCTGGCTGCCTGAGGATCTGCTGCTATCATGAATGACAGTAGCTATCTAGACCAGCAAGCTCACAACCAATTGACTGCTTCAAAGGAAACAAATGGTCATTGATGTCCTTCACCCTGGGAAAGCAATAGGTACCCAAAACAGAAAAGTGGGAAAAACTTACCAAAATGTACACCAGGAGTCATTTTTATATTTGGATTCATTTTGGTGGTGGCAAGACAACTGGCATGACTTATGATTCCTTGGCATGACATGATTATGGCGAGACTTGGCATGATTTATGATTCCTTAAAAAAAAAATGAATCCAAACATAGACTTGTAAGGCACGGCCTGGATGAGAAGAAGACCTCAAAAAAGCAGCAGAAGGAACACAAGGACAAAATGAGGTCAGAGGACTGGAAAGGTCAACATTGGTGCCAACAGGAAGCTGAAAAAGTAAAGATTCTGTGATGCCTGTCCTCAGTGATTGTGTAAGGCACAAAGTCACAATAGGACCAATGAACCATAAAAACTTTAAAAAAATGGGGGCTGTGGGGATAACTTCCAGCAGAGACCTGCATGATGTGGAAGAGTGTGTCCTACAGAAGGTTCAGAGTCAAGACGTTCTAGGCCAAGTGAATGGTGGTTTTAGGGTGAAGATCTTAAGGAGAGCTTGCAGGGTTCCAGTCTGTGGTATTCCACATGACTATATGCTGGCTCTCCATATCCATGGATCTGCATCTGTAGATTCAGCCAACCCACAGATAAAGAGACTTGAAAAAGAAAATCTGTGCTGAACAGGGAAACATCTTTTTGTACATTATTCTCTAAGCAAGTATAACAGCTATTTGCATAGCATTTATAATGCATTACATATTCTAAGTAATCTAGAGATGATTTAAAGTATATGGAAGGATGCAGAGAGTTTAAACTCTGCCATTTTATATAAAAGACTTGCACATCCTCAGATTTCAGTATTACCAGGGGTTCTTGGAAAGGAATTTTTTATTTATAAAAATTGTATTTGCCATAGATCTTATTTGTTTCCCATGTTTTAAATTTACTGTGATATTTTGAAGATCTACCCATGTTGCTCCAGTTCATAGTCCTAATTCTCACACAGTGTCCCTCAGAAGGTAATTACCACATTTTACTTTGCATTTCTTTAGTGGTGGACACTTGGGCTCCTCCAAATTCCCTCTGGTACCATCAGTACTGGGGCAGATGTGTTTGTGTGTGTCATCATTTAGGTTTGTGCTGTTTCTCTGGGGCTATCTTTCCAGGAATAAGACTGATGATCCGTAGAGTAAATGTAGCCCTAATTTCATTGAAGATTGTCAGGTTGTTCTCTAATCAGCGGTGCACAAGAACTTCCACTTCTCCAAGACCACTAACACTTGATATTATCAGATCTCTATTTTTTGCCAATTTGATAAGTGTGAATCAATATCTTGCTTTTGTTTTTGCAGTGCTGGAGACTGAACCCAAGGCCTTGTGCATACCAGGAAAATACTCTGCTACTGATCTGCACTCCAAGCCCTTTATTTATATTTTTTTTTTTTTTTTTTTTTTTTTA